TGTGCTTCCATCGGATAACTCAAAGTATAAAAGAAAAAACAAAAAACAAAACAGAAAACAAAACTTGTTGGCAAACCCCAATTGCCCAGCTTGGCCGACAAAATTGGGCTCGTTCGAAGTTGGCACTGACAAGGTTGGGGTATTAGACAAAGTTGGGTACCAGCTGTTGGGCTTTATAAACACATCACGTGGTACATTCTCAGCATGGCGGTGGAATTAAATGAACGTTGTGGAACGTCGACGTTTCTGACAAGATTTTGCAGCAGTTTCACGATGAAATTCTCAGTTAATTATCACTCTCCGGTATTGTAGGTAAGTGAAATGGCAATAGTAGTTTTATGTACAGCATTTGCATCACTGCAAAATACCTTTGCAGCCTTTATGTGGGTGCTACCGAAATGATTGAACACACGCATACACACGTCTAGTTCCACCAGTTGCCACCACGCGCCAAACTAACCCTCAAATTGGTGTGATATGTTTCCTGATGGAGGCTTTGCCAACTCTAGTAATATTAGTATATGATTCAGGTTCAGGGTGTTGGCCTATGGCATACCTTGGCATACGGTGTAGACCCGTAAACAGGGCTCTGCATAATCACATACTCCTTGGCGATACATACATAGGGCCTAGTCTGAGTAATTTGGACTTTACAAATCGCCTTATCGTGTTTATTAACAATAAGCCTTTTGCAAGTGACCTTTGATTTTGAATAAAATCTGGTACACTGAGTTCTTTAAATACACAGGAACATAACAATTTGAATTCTCCATGCTAAAAACACTGCTGCTATACCTCGTGATTCGGGGCAAGCTTTTGCTTAGTTACATAAAAGACGCCTTGCAACAATACACTGTTCTCAATGGATAAGAAGGACACAAAGGAACCGGTTCATTTCAGAGATGGTGGTCGCAATGCAAAAGCTTGCCCCGAATCATGAGGTACAGTAATAACGTCTTTAGTCTAGGGAATTAAAAATATTGTGTTTGTGTGCAAGCAAATAACTCAGTCATGTCAGTGTACCAGATTTTATTCAAATTTAACTCGCAAATGGCTTATTGGACAGGGTCTGGCGATATAAGTAGAGTCCGAGTAGCTTCCATAGGCTTTCCATCCCATTAATTCATTTCAATCAAAAGAGCTTGTACCCCAAATCAAAATCAAAATTTTGTAGTTTCTCTTTGTCATTGGTATTGTAATTGAACAGCTACCCGGTAGTCCACTAGTGTTCTAGAGACATTGCCAGACAAAATAGGTTGTTGAAAACAAAACGAGAACCACTTGCTTAATGATCACATGTTTGAAAGGAAATAGATGTCCGTGAGAGTAACCAGGGCTGTGAAACATACTGAGTGATCACAATGCAAACAGTGTAATATTCATGATCACAAATTTCTTTTGATTTGTATGGGACTCCCTGACACCTGCATTTTTATCTACATCATTTAAAGTGTGATTGGTTGCAATCATGATGCATTCATTGTCCCCTCATGGTTTCAGTGGTAATGCTAAGAGTTCGAAGTCTTAAGGGTTGTTCATTCTGTGATCATATTCCCTGTGCCTTGGAAGCATGTTTGTACTAGACTGACGGGTGTGGGATATGATTTATCAGGAATTGATTTGGATTTTGAACAAGCTCACCATGATTGTCATCTCTTAATTATTCGTATGCATCAGTCTGTGAGGAAAGGTTGTCACTGAATCATTTTAAACCACCTCCGGGCAGGCCACGCCCCCTGTCCCTTCCCTTATCTGGTGCTGCTGTAAACGATTTGCTAATTTTGTATCCAGCTACATGTGCATGTACCTCCCGTTTTATAGTATAAATTTCCAAACCTTGCCAAACTTGTCTGAACCCATGTGACTGACAATTTGGGTACCATTTTGAGTATTGTCAGTATTTTGTAAAATAGGTGCCTGCAAGTTTCCCTTTGCAGATCTTCTAACATACAGCGTAAATCGCAATTAAAGAGACAAAAAGTGACGGTTTTTGTTATGTTTAAATTTAATTTTTCACAACTTTGGTGATGACGACAAACTTATGTGCTCTTCATGTGAAAATGGGAGGGGGGCACCCTAGACATACATGTACATGTAAAGTACGTCATACCGTACTTTTCTCTGGTTGACAGCTCCATGAACCAGTTGACCATTTGATTGATACAAGAGGGCACTAGCCTTTTTTGGGGGGGTGGGGTGATTTGTTAATTCAATGATGTCAGTTTTAGTGCTTGAATTGCCTTGTGTTCCTGATTGGCAGCTAGAGTCAAATGTACTGGTATTGTTTCATGGAAATGAGATTGACAGTAATGAAAAGTTCTAAACATTGTGAAAGTAATGAACCCAAAGGCTGTACACTTGTACTAGTATGGTATGGAGTTAAGGCAAGATGTTCAATCTTCCCTTCAAATCTTTAATTCAGACTTTGGCCTTCCGTAACAAGCTCCTTAAATTTAGCCTCACCCTTCATGCCACAACAAATTTTGTACATTAAGATATTTTTCAATTTTTTTTTAGAGTTCCTACCCCACTAAGGGTTTGGCCCCCAAAACTGGGGTTCTTGATCCATTCTAGGCTTGGTAGTGTTTTAGAATGGAGGTACATGTGTGCATACATGTACATGTGGGTTCATTGATGAGAAGCTGAATGTTACAAGACTTTATAAGCACCAAATAGACCCCAGAGCTTTGGCACCAGTCGGATAGTTAACCATTTACTTGTCTTGTGATGAAGATAGTTCATTCATAGATTGGAAGTTTTGTCATACCCACATATTTATTATTCCTTCAGCAAAATTTAAGTAACAAGATGAATGTCAATTGTTGCTGCATCATAAGATTGGGGTAAACAAGTTGTGATGAAAAAAATTGAGTCATTCCTTTCTGGATTTACATGTAAAGTGTTGAGGTGACGCAGTGCAATTGTTCCCATCTGGTTCTTTTAGCTTTTGGCATCTTTAAGGAGGATACTGAAAAATAGAGTCAATTGCAGGTAAAATGGAAGAGTACCACAGAATGAGGCTACATGTATTTTGTTTCCTCTGAAAACAAAATCATTCTTTTTATCTTTATTTATTCATAAACAAAGTGCTTTAAAGGCCATCATAGAAACCATTTCTTGTTACCGTGATAATAGAGAGTCCACCTCCGCTTGCATATGCTGCGCACACAAATTTTCTGAGCTGTCGTAGAGGAAAATAAATTGAACGACAGACAAAATTTTATGAATCAAGTTAAAAAGTAAGAGTTGAACAAGAAGAAGGATTGGATAATAGGGCGAGTGAGCAATCTTTATTGCGATTGGGAAATGTGGTAACTACTGCGATAATAGAGTAACCCATCCTACTAGCGGCTTTGCTGCCTTCTTTTTTAATTGTTGACAGTCTGATGAGTCAGCAGTAGCTTCAAAGAGTTATTAAGCTTGTTTCTTGAGTGTCAGGTGTGAGATGTGATTTCTGAGAATTTAATGGAAATATAAATATAGTCAGCTCGACAAGGTTGTCATCGCATAATTAAAAATGCCAGTGAAGCAGCTTTAATCACCTCCTGGGCAGTATGTGACTGGTTTGCCAATGGAAAGGGAAGTTTTTATGGTTTGCCTTAATTGTCAGAAATTTGGCAAGTTGCATCAATAACAGGTTGAGATTTTTGAAGCCTGAAGTGTTTGCAAGACAAGATTAAAGATACACACATGTACGTGTGGGTACACATACATGTAAATGGCTCCACATCAACCTTTCAGGCTTGGTCAACAGGTGTATATATATGTATGCGTATTTTAAGGGTCATTTTTAACAGTTATAAATTTGTAATTTTCAATTCACTTAAAAACAGTTTTAAACCTTACAATTTTCTTACTCTGGGCTTCACAACCCTTTCACTTTCAGATGAACATTTTAGCATCTTTGAATAAAATAAAAACATATCAAAAGCTGTTTAATGTCACTTCAAAACTAGGCCACGTCGGAAATGGGCTTCCACAGCTATGGCTACATGTATTGCCCACGTATCTCCCCATATTTTCAATGGAGCAAGGACCTAAACCTACCGGTACATGTGGCTAAGTCTAGAGAAAAGATCTGGATGCCCCCATAGGTTGGGGGAAGCAGACAAATCGTGTACCTTTACTCCTCAGGCTTGGGCACGAAGATACATTTTTTACATCCTTGTAATGGTTTTAATTTGCAATTACCATTTACCATTGTTTAAAGTACAAATTTATATTCTTTTATTCAAAATTTCCTTGCACTGCCATTCTGCCAAATCCTCATTTGAGGGAAAGTGTATAGCCCTTCCGAGTTGTAACATCAACCCAAGACTGGAATGTGTGGTGTGCAGAAAAAGAGGTGACGTTATGTTGATTTCTCTGTTCAAGTTTTTGACATGTATCATGTAATGTGTGTCAAAAGTTGAAACAGTAAAGTTCTTCTCACAGTATCCAGAGAACAGAGGGAAATCTCATTTTTAAAATTCTGTTGGAAATCGATTTTTTTTTAGAAGAATGAGTAACATTGAAGATGTTGACTTGATCAACATACTTGTTCATGTACATACATGTACACATTGAAACTTAAACCCGTTGCCATCCTCAGGTGAACTTTTTGCAAACTTTAGCTGCTCTTTATGCAAACAGGGGTGCAGGAATCAAACTACTGTGTGCATCTAAACATGCCACAGTGCCTTGCAGAAGGTTCTCCATTTTCATGTCATTCAAGATCTAGAACATTCAATACACCAAATCATTATACTGACCATAGACTGAGGCTACATTTGATTTCAAGATGTTGAAAGATCTCCACACTTCTAAGACCTAATGCAAGAATCGTTGGGTCAGACATTGGTGCCAGTCAGATAGTAAACAATGCAGGCTCTGGCGAAGATCCCTGTTCCTCAGGTAGTAAATGACAATGTTCAGCCAGCCATTTGACAACAGCAAGGCTTGAGCCAACATGATGACCATGTACCTGTCGTATATCTTCCATTCGGAGTTTGGAGTAATCACAAATACAGTCACTGCAGGCATCCAGGTGATGATCAGAGTCCCCGTTATGATGATGATGGTGGTGGTTGATCTGGTGTTTATTCTCTGTCCACCTTGGCCATTGCCTGCTTGGTTTTCGGCAGCAATGCGTCGGGCTTGATTGTGAGCTATTAGGATGATGTGTGCGTACAGGATGAATATGGTTGCCAGTAAGATAACAGTGAGTGCGACAATGAGATAAATTCTCCAATCATTTTTTACTCCTACACACAGTTGGTAAGGACCATCCTGTGAAACAGTAGCTCTGTCATAAATCCCATACATGAAAATGA